GACTGACAGGTTAAAGTTTGGCAAAGTTATAAGCAACTGAAAACAATGTCTTATTATGGAAAGTATTGAGAAACCTTTAAAAAAAAATGGGATTATTACCAGCTCTGCTTATAATATGTTCAGAAAGTTCAGCATTTTAAAAAGTCGAATTCTTTATCTAAACCATAAGATGATTCCTTTAAAGCACTAAGGAAAAAAAGAATGGCTTGGTTGTGATGCTTCCTTCAGACTGTGGAGATTGTTAGAGTCCTGCTGAAATAGAGGCACTTAAATTATACTCACTTTTCCCCTCAGAAGTACAGAGAAAGTAGAAATGGAGGAAAATGTCATCACTAAATTTATCTGTGTTATATGCTTTTTGCTTTACAGTCAGCATGTTAACTCAGTCCATTTGTCCCAGTTACTATATAAGTCAGGTTGCACACACTATTTATATATATCAAACAGTTCAGATAATGGTCATACAGTAATTGTAAGCTTCTGTAGGGAGACAGAAAAATATTTGCAACTTTCTGTATATAAAATTTCCAAATAAAAAGCAAAATTATTACTGACAATTTAGGACTTGATTCCGTCGTGATACCATTGTGCCAGAGGAGCTAAGTTGTTGACCTTGGTCTTTGTCCTGGAGCTTTAAGCAGTCTTTTAGGTGTCCTGGGCCCAGGCCATGGAGTGCTTTGAAGATAGACTGAGACCTTGAACTTAATTCAAAATTCTATGGGGAGAAGAGGGCAAGTGTGATGTGTTCATGGTAGCTTGCATACTGAGGAGACACGCTGCAGTGTATTGTACTAGCTGGAATTTCCTAAGTGCTGATGGCTTCCTGCCCAAGTATACTGCATTGCTGTAGTCCAGCCGAGATGTGACAAAGACATGAATAACTGAGGCCTTTGTCTGCCAGTATGGGATGGAATCTACTAGCCAGCTGGAGATGGTAGAAAGCATTACTCATGGCTGTTGTGATGTGGGAGCTCAGCATCAGCAAGGAATCTGAGAGTACTCCTAGACTATGGACTGAACTGACCAGTTGTGGATGTGAACCGTCAACCAAAGGGGAGTCAACATGGCTGCAAACTCCTCAGAATACTTTCCTCTGCCCACCAGCATCACCTGGTCTTGCTTGGGTTCAGCTTCAGCCAGCTTATCTCATCCAAGCACTGGGCCACCTTGGTGGTAGGGGTATGTGGTGAAGGATAGGTAGAGCTGTGTGTCATCTGCGTATTGCTGGCCTGTGAATCCATGTTGTTTGACCCATACACCTAGCGGTTGCATGTAGATGTTGAAAAGGACTGGAGAGAGAACTGATCCTTGTGGAACCCCACAAGTGAGGGGTCTAGTGGTGGTGTGTTTTCTCATCACTACTTTTTAGGTGTATCCCTCCAGGAAGGGCTCAAACCATTTTAGCATGTTATCCTGACCCCTGCCATCTCTCTTGGGTCAGACAGCAGTATTTCATGGTCAACAGTGTTGAACACTGCAGAGAGATCCAAGAGGATGAGAATGGATGTCTGTTCTCTATCTTTTGATTGGAGGAGATCATCTATCAGTTCCATAAAGCTGTTTCAGGTCCGTGTCCTGGCCTACACCCACATTGTGCCGGGTCTAGAATGTTGGCTTCAGTTAGATGAGCTGACAGGTGGCCTTTGACTAGTTCCTCTATGAGCTTGCTCAGGAATGACAGGTTTGACACTAAGTGATAGTTGGCTAGGAGTTTACTTGATCTTGAAAAAAATAAACCATGGTTAAGAATGACCTTACCCCCACACTCCTGAAAGTTAATAAAAGAATATCATGTTTACCTAAACAATAACAACAAGATGGGTATCATCCAATGCCTTTCCTGGGCCAATAAAAATAGCTCTCCGAGTTAATTGAAGCAGATATGGTGTTATACAGACATTCACTTCAGTGTGAAACTGAGACAGTACCAAGTATCAGCTATTTTTCTACCTTTCAAACAAAGGGAAGCCTTATGCCTTCTGTTATTTATACCAATTCATTTTGTTGCACTTATTTGTTTTATGAAAGAGATGAAAGCAAGCAAATGCTAACGAATTAAAATAAATGACTCTGATGTTCAGTTGAGCTGTTCATGAAGGTTAATATTTGCATTTGGAGTGGAATTTGGATACCAATTACACAGAAATATGATCAAGAGGAACATTTTCTTGGCAAGCTGCTTGCATTCTTACTCGACCAAAAAACTATTACAGGGCCAGATATTTATTCTTTAAATATCCCCGTTTTTTGGGAGAATCCTTATGCTCCATGCTAAAATATAAATCTTGTCAGCTTTTTCTTTCTCAATCTGTACGTGCTGGGGTTTATAGGGAACTAAAGGGGAAAAAATACTGGAGAAGATGGAAAGGATTATAGTGTGTGAAAATGCATATAAATGAGCAGAGTGAGAGAACATGGGTCACCTCCTGAGAGCAAAAGCCATCTTGCAGTTCTCTCTCATCCGATAGCCTTCTGTAGCACATCATACAAGCGGGGCTTGAGCCTGAGACTCCTTCCCGTCCGAAACTTCAGTGAGAATGATGCAAAGCGATATCTCTGGTTGTGGCCGAAGAGAGGGAGGTAGACCACAGCAGTCTACCCGACTGGCATGAAAGAACAGAATGTGCACTGTCTCCAGCATTTTTGAGGGGTAACTATTATTCTGCCCACTCACTGTCCTCCTGCTCTTTTGTATTCAGCAAGTTGCATTTCCCTCCTGTCTAAATCTAAAGAAAAAAGTACTGAGACTAAGGAACTGAGGTTCCCAATGATCCACTGGTACTTCCCATCACCCAGAATTAGAATAACATGTGCATCATTATAAGGGAGTGTTTGTTGAATATGACCATTTTTAGCCAGGTGATACAGTACGCTCTGTGATGCAAACGTGTTTATGAGGAATTTCAGGAATGGAAAGTTTGCCTCATTTTCAAAGCTTACATTGGCAAGATGAGTGGCTTTTTTTTTTTTTTTTTTTTTTTTTTTTTTTTTTTTTTT